AACCTAGTGCCTCGTCTATTACACGCTTTCCCAAGCATTGACTGTCCCATAAACTTTATTTTAAAAATAAGACAATGATAGTTAATATTTACTGACACTTAGAATTAGAGCCTGTGCTAAACACTTTAGATATGCTAGCTTTTCTTAGTCCATTTAGTTTTGCTGTAACATCCCAGACCGGATATCTAACAGAGAAAAGATACTACTGATACGTCCAAAGTTGAGAGACGCACAGACGGTGAGGAACCTTTTGCGGTGTCATCCCACGGTGAAAGATAGAAGAGCAAGAGCACAAGAGAACAAGACACAAGGTGTAACCCAAGCCCTTTTATAATGGCATTAATCTATTGATGTGGGTTAACAGATGAGTACCCAGCTCTATTACTACCCACCTAAACAACCTCTCACTAGTACCCACATCTCAACACTATTGTATTGTAGATTAAATTTCCAACACATGCTTTCTGAGGAACATATTCAAATCCCTTTCATCCTCACAACTAGCGAGGTAGGTACAATCATCTCTAGTCTACAGTTGGGATATCTCAGGCCTGGAAGGATTAAATAATAGTGTGTACTGTGAATGAATCCATTCAACTCTAATAGGTGTTTAAGTTGTCTAATTTTCTGATATGACTGACACTTAACCTTTATTCCTTTAGTGTAATTTGAGACTGTGTTCAGAACTTCTTAATGAAAAAGCAAAGATTTCCTTTAGCTGGTGTAGAGAGTTGTGATACACTGTTCTGTCAGGCTTTCATGTTAGGAAAGCACTGAGGAGACTTTATTTTCTGAGAGACTCTAAACAAAGGGTGCAGAGAAATCAACTCAGGCTGTGAATACCCTACAGTAATGTTAAATTGTATGAGCAGAATCAGACGAATCATTTACTGTTCAGCTTGGGAATGCTCTTTGCTTAAGCCAAGCCCTTTGCATAGCTCTGTGGATGGACGATAACTTGCCCTGAATGTGGTTGAGAATAATACAATCTGAAGTGTAAAAGGACGATTCATGAGAAATCACTGTTGAGGAAAACCTAGAGTTTCCTCCAGCTTTTACACACGTGCTCCCCCTGACTATTAACTATTCTCACTAGAACACTGACGCTTTGTGTTTAGCCGTCATTGAGCATGTGGTGTTCGGTGGCGGCTCACCTACCAAGCGTTAAGGGTCCTAGCAAATTAGACGCACGCTATCCTTCCCAACATGTCCCATCTGGTATGATTCAGGTTCTTCATTCTGTGCTGTTTGTTTTTATTTCCCCAGCTCTATAAGGTTTTTCACATCCTATGACACTGAATCCACATAAAATCTGCAGGTCCGGTATTTAAATTCCTGTTACAAGTAGAACTGCAGGTATGACCAAAAACTGCACTTGTGATGGAGAGGGAACAGTGAAACCTCATATCCCATCCCACCTTCCAGCAAAATATGTATAGAACTTTTACAAAGTGCTTGTTCTTTAGTATCTGGCATAGAAATGATTTTGAGAATAAATGATACCAGTATTTGTTAATTATCTGCCAATATCAAACAACACATTACTCATAAAGGTCCTCACAGCTAGCATTCCTTTCCTCAAAGTTCTTTCCGTATTTTGATTCCCATACCACTACCATTTCATTTTCTCCAAAGAGATAAGTGGTAAGAGAAAGGGAAGACACGCCTAAATTATTCCCAGTTGTGAATATTAACAACTGTGGAATTATGATGCACAATTATCTTTTTTGAAAAATAGTTTTATCTTTGAATAAAGTAGCTTTTCATTCAAATGTAAATACCCTCAACTAATGACATTTCTCCTAGATACAGATCTATTTGAAAATTATATTAAATGACAGAATTTTAGTTCTATCCTCAATCTTAGCATCTTCAGAATCGTGACATTTTTAGGTAGTGGTGCAGAGATTCTCCTCTTCCTCTGTGCTCCCATAACACACCATACTATAACAGTTACATATGCACAGATTATCACCTGGGCTAGACTGAATCACACCAAACACCTTTGCCTCTACATGTTCTAGCATGTGCTGGACACATAAATGCTCAATAAATGTGTGTGGAATTGACCTGAAATAGTTTAAGTTTAAAACTTTCAAGTCCTATATCAGACAGTGTCAAATGGAAACCCCGTATCTGTTACAAATGAAATTTAAAGAGGCTAAAGATGCAGTTTTAAAGGAAATACTTGAAAATAAGGAGAAAAATGCAGTTACAAAGTGTCTGTGACTTTTCTTTTTGGACCATTCTTTCAACAAAGCATGTTCCACTGAGAAATGATGATTCCTAAGTACCCCCATTAATATGGCATTCCGAATTTTAATGGCTCTCTCCTCCTATGTGATGGTGTATAGCCCCATAGGCAGAGGCAGTGTACCACTGTAATGTGGAATATAGGCTCCAGGTGTGAGTCTCAGCCCTACAACTTACTAGCACATAACCCTGGGCACGTAATTTAACCCCTCTTAGCCACACTTTGCTCACGGGTGTAGGGTTGTAATAATGTATTCAGAGCATTTAGCAGGTACTGACATAACGTAAGTGCTAAATCGATGTTGGCCATTAAGATGCAAAATGTAAAGCCTCTAGTACTTTGTAAAATTCATTTTTTTTTCACACCTTTATTGAGATGTAACTCATATACCATAAAATCTATTCTTGATGCGTACAACTCAGTGGATTTTAGTATATTAACAGAGCTGTGTAATCATCACAACTATTACTTTATACTATTTCAGGACATAAATATCAAAAAAGATACATCATACTCCACTAGCAGTCACTTTTCATTCTCTCCTCTCCCAGTCATTTGCAACTACTATTCAACTTTGTTTATAGAATTGCCTACTCTGGATATGTTATGTAATAGTCACATGATATGGCCTTTTGTAACTGGCTTCTTTCATTTAGTATAGTGTTTGCAAGGTTTCTCTAGGCTGGAGCATGTAGAAATATGTCATTCCTTCTTATGGGTGAATAATATTCCACTGTGTGGATAGACCACTTTTGGTTAATCAGCTTATCTGATGGACATTTGAGCTGGTTCACTTTTTGGCAGTTAGGCAGTTCACAGCCGCTGTGAACATTTTTGTACGTGTTTCTATGTGGTGGTAGATTTTGTCAAATGTTTGTTCTGTGTCTCCTAACATGATCACATGGTTTTTGTCCTTTATTCTATTACTGTAAGCCATTACATTGAAAAATACATATACACGTAACACAAATCTTGCATTCCTGGGATAAACTCCACTTGGTCATGGAAAATAATCATCTTCCTATGTTGCTGGATTTTGTTTGCTAGTATTTTGTTGATTTTTGCATGATTTTAAGTATGTAAAATATTGGTATAGAGGATTCTTGTGATAGCTTCGTCTGTGATATCTTCTACATGTTGGAAAGAATTCTGGGTAAAAAAATTGTGGCCAATGCCTTGATTTGCACAATATTAGCTTTCAGTTCACCTGACTCCCAAGCTTTCTCCCCAGTCCCTTCCCAGTTCCCACACTATTCCACTAAGACTTTCTGTATCCCCCTGCTTCTAGTTGTTGACTGGCACTGCCCCTTCTTCCCAGTTCACTCTACTTATACATGTCCTACACACCTGTACCCAATTCCTCTTTCACTTGAAACCCTGATAGACCACCCAACCCCTAGAGATCTCTTCCTTGAGATGCTGATATCATGTTACAAACTAACATCTGCTTACTGCTTAAAATTTCCGAAACTCATATTGCATTTCAGTCTCATGACCCAGAGAAACAGGTATGTGTACTCACTATTATTAAAGCAGTTTTGTACAAAACCAAGTAGCTGGACCGTAATTTTATAGCTATGAAGTAAGCTACGTGCTTATGGTGGCATTTTAAAGAAGGAAAGGGATCTATGGATATCCCACTTTCTAGCTCTGAGATTAAGTTTTTATTAACCAAATGCAGTCTTTCCTCCTTAATGTAACAACAAACACTTACAATGTATATTTACTACATAAGATACTACTTGAGAATGTCTAGGGGATAGACTCCAAAGAGATTATCCTCCCCACAAACATATATGACCAGAAACTACCGTCTTCTTAAACTGAAACTTAGAAAATCAAGACTAAGCTGAGAAGCAAACCAGCTCACTCAGAGATTTAACAAGGAGTTACTGATGAGACTAAAACACTTTGTAAATATTCGTTACTAATTAAATCTAGGGCTTTTCGAAATCCAAATGTCTTTACAGTTGTATACTCTCAATTCTGAGTTTTACCAAGTGAAGTAAATAAAACAGCAACCTCTTAAACTACAATATATCCAATGGGAGGTAATAAACTATGAGGACAAACTATGAAACCTAAAGAAAATCAAAGAAAAATATGAAAATTAATCAAAAGGTGCCACAGACACTTGTGCTTCTAATCACAATGTAGTAACTGACACTGCAATTGTCCTACCATTATAAACAAGTAGAAAGTATATGAAATTATTATATTCAAACACTGGACATCAGGCAGTATGGGCCTGTGAATCCAGAGACAAGGAAAGCAGATAAAGGAAAGGAAAATCCTTTTTGCCAAAACTTTCTAGATTTCAGTATGGGATGAGGAGGCCAAAGCAGAATCTGTCATTCTCACTGAGTCTGACTAGACAGATCTATTGCTGGGGATATTCAGTAGAAACCTTAGAAGGATTTCAACTTATTAGTAAGAATAAATCAGTTCTAATGAAGCTTAAAAGGAAGTTCCAAAGGAGATAAGCTGAACCTCAAGTAACCTAACTACTATTTTTTAAAAATAGCTTGATATTCTTTGAAGAAAGATAACAAAACCAACGTGTTCAACAATATAATGGTCTCAATGTCCAGCATGCTTTAGAAATTAACAGAAAAGAAGCAAAAAAAAAAAAAAACCTGACCCTATAAACAGGAAAAATGCCGGTCAAAATAAATAAATCCAGAAATGACAGAGATGTTAAAAGTAATAATAGACAAGGGTTTGATTTATTATTCCTATTATTTAGATGGAGTCTAATTCTGTCACCAAGGTTGGAGTGGAGTGGCATGATCTCAGCTCCCTGCAATCTCCACCTCCCTAATTCGAGTGATTGTCATGTGTCGGCCTCCTGAGGACCTGGACTACAGGTAGGCTCCACCACATGAGCATGTTTTGCTATTTCCAGTAGAGATGGGGTTTCACAATGTTCCCAGGCTGGTCTTGAATGCCTGGCCTCGGAGGATTCGCCCACCTAGGCCTCCCAGACTACTGGGATTACAGGTCTGAGCCACCAGGCCCGGTCACATACAAGGATTTTAAAACAGATACGCCTACACAAATTTAAAGGAATAGACTTTTAAAATGCACACACACAATCCATACCCAGACCCATACACACATACTCCATAACCAAATCCATACACATAATCCGTAACCAGACCCATACACACAATCCATACCCAGACCCATACATACATAATCCATAACCAGACCCACACACAATCCATAATGAGACCCATAACCAGACCAATACACATAATTCATTACCAAATCCATACACACAATCCATAACGAGACCCATACACATAATCCAGAACCAGACCCACACACAATCCATAATGAGACCCATAACCAGACCAATACACATAATTCATTACCAAATCCATACACACAATCCATACCCAGACCCATACACATAATCCTAAACAAGTCCATAAAATCCATCACCAGACCCATAAGCAGACCAACACACACAATCCATAACCCCACCCACACACATAATCCATACAATCCATAACCAGACCCATACACACAATCCATAACCCCACCCACACACATAATCCATAACCAAATGCATACAATCCATAACCAGACCCACACACACAGTCCATAACGAGACCCACACACACAATCCATAACCAGACCCACACACACAATGCATACCCAAATCCACACAATCCATAACCAGACCTACATACACAATCCATACCAAGACCCACACACACAATCCATACCCAGACCCACACACATAATCCTAAACAAATCCATACAATCCATAACCAGACCCATAAGCAGACCCACACACACAATCCATAACCAGACCCATAAGCAGACACAATCCACACCCAGACCCATACACACAATCCATAACCAGACCCATACACACAATCCATACCCAGATGCATACACACAATCCATAAGCAGACCCACACACACAATCCATAACCAGACCGATACACACAATCCACAACCAGACCCATAAGCAGACACAATCCACAACCAGATGCATACACATAATCCATAACCAAATCCATACAATCCATAACCCCCACACACAATCCATAACCAGACCCACACACATAATTTATAACCAGACCCACACACATAATCCATAACCAGACCCACGCACACAATCCATAGCCAGACCCATACACATAATCCATAACCAAACCCACACAATTTATAACCAGACCCACACAAATAATCCATACCCAGACCCATAATCACACCCATACACACAGTCCATACCCAGACCCACATGCAGAATCCATAACCAGACCTATAACCACACCTATACACACAGTCCATACCCAGACCCACACACACACAATCCATAACCAGACCCACAAACTGTGTGTAGGTTTGGTTATGTATTGTATGTGTGGGTCTGGTTATGGATTATGTGTATGGATTTTTTTATGAATTATGTGTATGGGTCTGGGTATGGATTGTTTGTATGGGTCTGGTTATGTATTATGTGTAGGGATTTGGTTATTGATTTTGTGTATGGGTCTGGTTATGGATTATATAGGTGGGTGTAGTTATGGATTGTGTGTGTGGGTCTGCTTATGGGTCTGGTGATAGATTGTGTGGATTTGGTTATGGATTATGTGTGTCCATGGATTGACAATCCATAACCCCCACACACAATCCATAACCAGACCCACACACATAATCCATAGCAAAAGCCACACACATAATCCATAACCAAATCCATACAATCCATAACCGGACCCACACAAATAATCCATACACACAATCCATAACCAGACCCATAACTAGACCAACACACATAATCCATAACCACATCCACACAATCCATCACCAGACCCAAACACACATAATCAATAAAGAGACCCATAACCAGACCATACACATGATCCATAACCAAAGCCACACAATCCATACCCAGACCCATCCACACAATCCATAACCAAACCCATAACTAGACCAACACACATAATCCATAACCATATCCACCCACATAATCCATAACCAGACCCATACAATCAATAACCAAATCCCTACACATAATCGATAACCAGACCCATACACATAATCCATAACCAAATCCACACAGTCCATAACCAGACCCACACACACAATCAATAACCAGACCCATACACATAATCCATAACCAGACCCATACACACAGTCCATACCCAGACCCACAGACACAATCCATAACCAGACCCACACACACGACCCATAACCACACCCATACACAAAGTCCATACCCACACACACAGTCCATGACCAGACCCATAACCAGACCCACCCACACAATCCATAACAAAACCCATAACTAGACCCACCCACACAATCCATAACCACACCCACCCAATCAATAACCAAATCCCTACACATAATCCATAACCAGACCCATACACACAATCCATACCCAGGACCAATCCATACAATCCATAACCAGACCCACACACATAATCCATAACCAAACCCACACAATGCATAATCGAACCCATACACACAAGTCCATACAGAGACCCACACACACAATCCGTAATCAGACCCATAACCAGACCGATACACACAATCCATACACATAATCCGTAATCAGACCCACACACATAATCCATAACCAGACCCATACACAAAATCCATAACCAGACCCATACCACACCAATACACACAGTCCATACCCAGACCCACACACACAATCCATAACAAAACCCATAACTAGACCAACACACATAATCCATAACCAAACCCACACAATCCATCACCAGACCCATAAACACAATCCATAATCAGACTCATTACACAGTCCCATACACACAATCCATCACCAGACCCATCCACACAATCTATAACAAGACCCACACACAAAATCCATAACGAAACCCATAACTAGACCAACACACATAATCCATAACCAGAGCCATACACACAATCAATAACCAGACCCCCAAACACAATCCTTAACCAGACCCATACACATAATCCATAAGCAGACACATACAATCCATAACCAGCCCCACACACACAGCCATACACATAAACCATAACCAGACCCATAACTAAATCCACACACATATTCCATAACCAGACCCACACAATCCATAACCATACCCACAACCAGAACAATCCATAACCAAACCCATACACACATTCCATACCCAGACCCACACACACAATCCATAACCAGACCCATACATATAATCCATAACCACACCCATACACAGAGTCCATACCCAGACCCACACACACAATCCATAATCAGACCCATAACCACACCCATACACACAGTCCATACCCAGACCCACAGACACAATCCATAACCAGACCCACACACACAATCCATAAACAGACCCACACACATAATCCATAACCAGACCCATAACCACACCCCCTACCAAGACCCACAGACACAATGCATAACCAGACCCACACACATAATCCATAACCAAATCCACAACAAGACCCACACACATAATCCATAACCAGACCCATAACCACACCCATACACACAGTCCATACCCACACCTACACACACAATCCATGACAAAACCCATAACTAGACCAACACACATAATCCATAACCAGACCCACCCACACAATCCATAATCAAATCCATACACATAATCGATAACCACACCCATACACATAATCGATAACGAGACCCATAACCAGACCCATACACACAATCCATAATCAGACCCATACACACAATCCATAACCAAATCCATACACATAATCCGTAACCAGACCCACACACACAATCCGTAATCAGACCCATAACCAGACCCATACACATAATCCGTAACAAGACCCACACAATGCATAATCAGACCCATACACACAAGTCCATACACACACCCACACACATAATCCATAATCAGACTCATACACACAGTCCATAACAAGACCCAGACACACATAATCCACAAAATCCATAATCAGACTCATACACACAGTCCATACACAGACACATACACACAATCCATAACAAGACCCATACACATAATCCATCACCAGACCCATCCACACAATCTATAACAAGACCCACACACAATCCATACCCAGACCCATACACATAATCCATAACCAAATCCACCAGACCCTCAAACACAATCCATCACCAGACCCATAAACCATAACCAGACCCATAACCAAATCCACACACACATTCCATACCCAGACCCACACACACAATCCATAATCAAATCCATACACATAATAGATAACGAGACCCATAACCAGACCCATACACACAATCCATAACCAAATCCACAACCAGACCCATACACATAATCCATCACCAGACCCATAACCACACCCATACACACAGTCCCTACCAAGACCCACAGACACAATGCATAACCAGACCCACGCACACAATCCATAACCAAACCCACACACACAGTCCATACCCAGACCCACCCACACAATCCATAACCAAATCCACACAATCCATCACCAGACCCATACACACAATCCATAATCAGACCCATAACCACACCCATACACACAGTCCATACCCAGACCCACACCCACAATCCATCACCAGACCCACACACACAATCCATAACCACACCCATACACAGAGTCCATACCCAGACCCACACACACAATCCATAATCAGACCCATACACACAATCCATAACCAAACCCACACACACAATCCATAACCAGACCCACCCACACAATCCATAACCAAACCCATAACTAGACCAACACACATAATCCATAACCAAACAAACACAATCCATCACCAGACCCACACCCACAATCCATAACCAAATCCACACAATCCATCACCAGACCCATAAGCAGACCCACACCCACCCACATAATCCATAACCAGACCCATACACACAATCCATACCCAGACCCATAACCAAATCCA